GGCTTTCTACTCCCGTAAAGATTTACACCCTCGGAAACCCTGTACAGGGTCGCTATGGGTCGGAACCGACTCGACGGCACTTAACAACAACAACAACATGCCTTAGTCTGAGTCAAGGGACTCCTGGCGTAGCACTGTAGGATAAGCGTTGGACTGCTAACCATGAGGTCGGTAGTTCAAACTCACCAGCTGTTCCTTGGAAATCCTATAGGTATACAGGGTTGCTATGAATCGGAACCAACTTGACGGCACTTAACAACAACATTCTGAGTCAAGGAGCCCTGGCAGTGCAGTGGTTAAAGGCCTAGCCTGCTAGCCAAAAGGTTGCTCTTCAGGAGAAAGATGTGGCAGTCTCTTTTCATAAGGATTTTTTATTGTTGTTAAGTGTCATAGAGTTGGCTGCAATTCATAACAACCCTGTATAGGGTTTCTGAGGAGTGGCTGGTGAGTTTGAACCGCTGACCTTGTAGTTAAACCAATCTTGTGGCTCACTGTTATCCTATAGAGCCATGCCAGGACTTCATAAAGATTTAAAGTCTTGGAAATTCTGTGGGACAGTTCTCCCCTGTCCTATAGGGCCATGATGAGTCCGAATTGACTTCACAGTTTTGGTGTTTTGGGGTATTTTGTGTCAGTCAGTCACTGAATCACAGAATTGTAATAATTTTTGTAATGTGTACCATTGATTGAACACCGACAGTGTTGGACACTGTGCTAGATGCTTTTCTGTATGCTAGGGTCACAGTATTTGTTGCAAAATAGTTATACCCAGTTTACAGATGAGGAAATCAAAATCAGTATGACTATGTTCCTTGCCCAATATCATATTACTAGTAATTGGTAAAGCTGAGATTTGATTCGAGGTTTTTTGATTCAAAATTCATGTTTGATCCATAATACCACTCAGATTAAGAGGGTCTCTAGGCAAGGGGTTCTCCAAGTTTTGCTTGAACCCCTAGGCGCCTAGCGCTTATTGCTTCTCAAGGCAGCACATTCCATCTTTGAACTGCTCTGCTTTAAAAATGCTTGTTTCCAGTGAACCAAAATTATAAAACAATGTCATGGGAAGACATGGCCAAGAATAGAGCCTTTGGCTCTCTACTAGAATGTCTCTTTGAGTCTGACACCAAAACATTTTTTGACTTGTTTCTCACTCACCTCACTGCAATGGAATTGGTTCCAACTCACAGTCACCCTGTATAGGGTTTCCAAGGTTATAAATCTTTATGGGAGCAGAAAGCCTCATCTTTCTCTCACAGAGCAGCTGGGGAGTTTGAACTGCCAACCTCGCAGTTAGCAGTCTAGTGCATATCCTACAGTGCCAACAAGCTTGTTCAGCTATGTTCAACTAGTTTTACAAATTCATCTTAACAAACAGCTCAAATATCCAGCCTATTTTTCTGCCATCTCATCTACAAGGATATTACGGGAAACTTTGTTCAATTCCTAGATAAAATGAAATTCACTATAGCTATCACATTCTCTAATCTGCCGATCTAGTAACCAGATCAAAAAAGGAAATGAAGGTCTGGGAGGGATATTTGTTTTTTAACGGGCAATTTGTCAATGACTCAACATAATGAGTTTCCAGCTGCAGGCTGTCAGACAACATTGATGGGCTGTCCGGAAGGTGATTTGGGGGCAGGGAGCTTCCTACTGCCCCTCAAATGACATCTAAATAAGCAGCTCCTCCTCCCCCTCCCCACTGACCACCCCCATTTCCATCGTTCTGTATTTTCCTTTGATGGTGCTCTGCTGTCACGCATGTTGTTTTTTTCTCTGCCTGGTTCATTCCCTAAACTCCTTTCTCTCCCTCCCCCAAAACACACACACATACACACACACACACACACCCCTTTGTCCTTTGAGAATCAGTGTATACAGTCCCTCTTCTAGAAGCCTCTTTGAGTCCCCAAGGTGGGTTCAATGCCTCTCCTCTTGTGGAAGTGCACATATTTTTTGTCACACAGTGTGTATGCCGTGGATTCGGTTCCGACTCATAAAGAATGACCCTGTATCGGACTTCGGAGGCTGTAAATCTTTACAGGAGCAGAAAGCCTCATCTGTCTCCCGCAGAACAGCTGGTAGTTTCGAACTGCTGACCATGATATTAGCAGCCCGATTCGTAAGCACTACGCTACCAGAGCTCCTTGTAATACAGTAGGTTCCAATAAATGTTAGTTTACGTCTCCTCTTTCCCCATGCACATCTCTAGAATAATATTGATTATATTGAGTTTACTTATCTGGCTTTATCGGTAGATTTGGAACTCACTTGTTTTTTCATTCATTGATTGCATGTCTCCCAAGTGCGTAAGATTCTGTTCATGCTGAATGCTAGGATACAATGATTTCTGAAAATCATACTTCCACAGTGTCATTTTTATGGTTATGTTCATAGCACCTTGTTGTTGTTGTGTGCCATCAAGTTGGAGCCGATTCATAGCTGTAATTAAAAGTGATTTTTGGTAATTGATTAGCTATAAAGATAGGAGCCAACCAAATACAGCCCAACTTCCCTATCAGGAAGCTTTGAAAAGTTGGATTTTATTAGCATAATTCTGGAGTCAAAGAGTATCCATTTTTAGAGTTTGCCTTACATGATCCTTGCTTTGCATCTGAACATTAATGTTTTCAATATCTACAGTTTGTACTTTTGTGTTCCTGCTATAACGTTCCTTTCTTTTCCCTCACCTAATTTAATTTACAGCTTTGTTGGTGTAACTGCTGCCAGTCTGGATCAAACACAGGACTCCCAAGCCCACCAAGTGGGTACCAACTCCAACAACCTGAAAATACTACTTAGCGATTCCTCTGTGGAGCTGAGCGAATACCGCGACCGTCAATTCGATGGCAATGTTGATGAGCAAGAAAAGCTACTGAAGGAAAGCTCCACATTGTATGTGGGGAATCTTTCCTTTTATACAACTGAAGATCAAATATATGAGCTCTTTAGTAGATGTGGTGACATCAAGAATGTATATATGGGCCTGGATAAAATTAAAAAAACGGCCTGTGGTTTCTGCTTTGTAGAATACTACAGTAGAGCAGATGCTGAAAATGCCATGAGGTTCCTAAATGGGACCTGTCTAGATGACCGTCTCATCCGTACGGATTGGGATCTAGGCTTTAGAGAGGGTAGGCAGTATGGCCGGGGCCGATCTGGAGGTCAGGTACGAGATGAGTTTCGTGAGGATTTTGATGCTGGCCGAGGAGGCTATGGCAAAAAGGTCCAGGCCCGTCGTAAGAGAAAAATCCGCAAGCAAAAAAAATTCAGCTTTCGCTCCTCAAACATCAGGTCTACAAACAAACCATTTCATTATAAGTTCAAATCGCTTGTGGAGAAGAAACCCCTTTGATGTATTTTTCTCACTGAAAAGTTATTAAATGACATGAGCAAACAAAAAGTCCTTTTGTTTTTTCTTGACTTTGCGGCTATGTTAGATGACCAGTTTGACTATCATATAGTCAAAAGCAGCGTTCTTAAAAGTAGATTATGTTTGTAAGATCTGAGTCAACGAAAGCCCAACTTTTCTTGTAAGACTTGAGTTGGATTTGATGATCATGTTTTCCTGAGGTCTGAAACTATCATTTTTAAGAGCTTACATAAAATAAAGGCAAATAAATTGTGGGAAAATTTAAATCATCAAAGGAATACAACATTATTTTAAAAAAACAAAACATATGGAAGGGTTTATAATGAAAACAAAAACCCTCGTGCCCAAACCCTTCCTACATCAGGTTTGTTCCTGAGCAACAATGAAAACGTTCTTCCTGACATTTTAAACATTCCTTGCCTGGTTGTTGTTGTTAAGTGCTGTCATGCCGGTTCCGACTCATAGCGACCTGATTTAAGATTTCTGAGGAGCAGCTGGTGGCTTTGAACTGCTGACCTTGAGGTTCAATCTGACCTTGCAGTCCAGTGCATTATCCTGCAGCACCACACCAGGAACTCCATATTTCTTTCCTAGTAGTTACCTTCATACCTTTAACCCTTTCATGACCGAATGATTTTCTGCTTTGAAGTTTTGCTTGATGCCATGTATTTTCAGTAATGGAAGACATGCTGAAATCAATAATAAAAAAATAATAATAATGTTCTGAGGTAATATGGATTTTGATACAATTATGTCAGATGCATATGTCCCAGGTCGTAGGGCTGGTGGGTGAAGCCCTTTCTTCAGATTCACAAAGTTATGCAGGTCATCACTAGACAGTGGTATGTACTCCAATTGGGATATCAGCTTCCCCAAAACCTGAAAGGCTGAAAATGTTAGCTGGCGAGATATGTCTTATGGGTTATGAAAAAGTTAAATGACATAAAAGGGTTCAATAGCACTATTCTCCTTTTCAATATTATCTATTGCCTTCCTGCTATGGTAAATAAGGAGCCCTGATAGCATAACAGATTATGGGCTGGCTGCTAGTTGCAAGGTCAATCCATAGTTCAAATCTACCAACTACTCTGCGGGAGAACTATGAAGCTTTCTGCTCCCATAAAGATTTACAGCCTCTAAAACCCTGGACAGGATCGCTCTGAGTTGGAACCCACGTGGACTTCTCTTCTCTTCATTCTTTCAACAGTTATAAAACTTTAATTTCTCTATTGTTACACAAAGTGTCTTAGGTTGGATTTTCTAAAGAAGCAAAACCAGTGAAATACGATATACATATATATAGAGAAAAACAGAGAAGTTTATTTTCAAGGAAATGGTTTACAATCACAGTCCCAGCTCCCCAGGGGAAGAGAGAGTGTGAGTGTATATGCCTTTCCTGCGTGTTGGGAGCAGGCCACACCCCCAAAGGAAGCGTCCCTTTAATTGTTCATAGCCACTCATCATAGAGTTAACTATGCCTGTATTCGGTTTCATCACCATGGGAATAAGCACATCTCAACATCTAAACCTCAGGAAATCCTGGCCTAGTCAAGTTGACACAGAACCCTCAGCATTACATAACATAAGACACCCTGGTTGTCCCGTGGGCTAGACTTTGATCTGCTCCACAGGGGAAAGATGAGGCTGTCTGCTCTCTTAAAGACTGACAGTCTCAGGAACCCTATACAGGGATGCTATGAGTTCAAGTAAGGAGCTCTGGTAACATAGTGGTTACAAATTGGGCTGCTAACCTCAAGTTCAGTAGTTTGAAACCACTAGCTGTTCTGCGGGGAGAAAGATGAGGCTTTCTGCTCCAGTAAAGATTTAAAGCCTTGGAAACCCTGTACAAGGTCGCTATGAGTCGGAACCGAGTCCACGGCACATCACCACCATGAGTTGTAGTCAACTCAATGGCAATGGAATTTTACTGGTAATTACATAAGATAGGTTAGATTGTTGCTTATTGTTAAGTACCGTGGAGTTGGTTTCGACTCATAGCGACTCTGCACAGGGTTTTCGAAGCTGTAAATCTTAACGGGAGCAGAAAGCCTCATCTTTTCCCCGCAGAACAGCTGGTAGTTTCGAGCTGCCGACCTTGAGGTTAGCAGCCCGATTCGTAACCACTACACTACCAGAACTCCTTGGGTTGCAGAAACAAACAGCCCCCAAACCTTAGAGATTTAATATTACTAAGGTCTACTCACACTATATTCCACAACGGATTTCCTGGGGTGCTCTGCTCTATGCTATGATCATGCACCTTCTGGGATTCAGGCTGAAATGATGTAGGTGACAATGGCAGAAGGGAAAAGAGAAAGTGGCAGAACATGTGCTGACTCTTCAAGCTTCCACCCAGGCACAGATCACTTTCATGAACATTCAAAACATGTCACCTGACCAAGATCGACTCTACAGACATGGAGAATTATGATCTATCTGCAGGGAAGGGCCCCAAATATTAGGGATGCATTATATAGTTTGGTTCAGATATTTGTTTAATTTTATGTACGTTTCTGGTTTTGGTTCCACCAAATAGTGCTCCCCATCCACAATGTAGGATGACATTCTCCTTTGATATTTTCCTCCAGCTCTCCTCCTTCTCGTCTTCTCCTCAACTTCTTTCTCCAGTCCTTTTCATTTCACATTGCCAAAGTTGATAAGAAAGTTGCTCTGTCTTTAAGTTGATTCTAAATGTTTTAAATTAACAATGTTTTTTTTTTTTTATTGTGACTACATATTATTCTCTGCAATGCTAAAGAGAGTTCATTGGTTCCCCACCCCCAGAAATTTTATTTACTTTTCTCTATTTTTTTTTAAACTAAAGAGCCCTGGTTATGCAGTGATTAAGTGCTCAGTTGCTAACTAAAATGTTGGCAGTCCATAGGAGAAGGATGTGTCAGTGTGATTCCTTAAATATTACAGCCTTGGAAACCCTAGGGAGCCGTTAGACTGCTCTATAGTCTTGCTGTGAGTCAGAATTCACTCAATAGCATATGGGTTTGTATTTCTAAAACTATGTGCCTTTATAACGTCCTTGATTTCTTTCAAACACTTCATAAAGATCAAGTCTTCTATGGAAACTACTCCAGTTGATCTGTCTGACCTGTTGCTTCTATCTGGATTCATTACTTTCTAGACCATTACATTCTAGACTAGAGTTTCTTCATTTCAGTGATTTTTTTTCTTTTTTTTTTGATTGTTGTGGGAAGCTGTTCTGTGCATTATAGGATGTTTAGCAACATCCCTGACCTCATCTATCCTCAGATAGCAGTTGCAATGCCCCTCCCAACTACTGACAACCAAAAATGACTCCAGGCATTGCCCAACATTCCCAGGGTTGAGAGCAGCAGAATCGCCCTAGATTGAGAACCACTGTTCTCTATGTAGTTGTCATCCTGGAACTTTTTTTTTTTACTGTGGTACTAGGTGGAATGACAATTTCAAATATCCTGTGTTTTTCTCTTGAGTAGTTTACTCGCTTGTTTTGCCTAAGCGTACCATCAAGGTACTTTCTAAGATAAGTTAGGTGGTAAATAAATAGACTTTCTGAGTCATCTTTATTCTACTCACTTACTTGATAGTTTGCATTGTTATAGAATTCTAGATGGAAAATTATTTCCATTAGAACTTTGAGATATTACTCTATGATCTTCAAGCATCTGTTGTTGTTGTTGTTGTTAAGAATCGTGGAGTCGGTTCCGACTCATAATGACCCTGCACAGGGTTTCCGAGGCTGTAAATCTTTACGGGAGCAGAACTCATCTTTCTCCTGCGGAACTGCTGGTAGTTTCGAACTGCTGACCTTGCGGTTGACAGCCCAGCTCATAACCACTACGCTACCAGAGCTCCTTTTCTAACATCTATTAAAAAGAGCTCTGGTAGCATAGTGGTTACGAATTGGGCTGCGAACCGCAAGGTCAGCAGTTCTAAACTACCAGCTGCTCCGTGGGAGAAAGATGAGGCGTTCTGCTCCTGTAAAGATTAACAGCCTCGGAAACCCTGTGCATGGTCACTATGAGTCGGAACCGACTCCATGGCACTTAACAACAACAACATTGGCCATTAAATGTTTGTTCCAGTTTTTATCTCAGTGGGAATTTTCAGTCTGTTCGTTATCACTGATGTCCTGAAATTTCACAGTTGTATTTTTTGTTTTGTTTTCATTTACAAAACTGGATTTTCAAGGGACACATTCAACCTGCGGACATGCTTCCTTAATTTGTCTTTTCTTGTACTAGTTATTTGTTATTTCTTCCTTTCCATTTTCTCTGTTCTATCCTTCTGACTACTGTTACCTAGATATTGATGTCTTGGATTGATAATACCCTAATTTTCTTGGGCCTTAATAGTGTAAATCAGTTCAGGTAATTTCCTCCCTGTGGCACATAATTGCTTCAGAAACCTAGATTTAAGCCAATCAAAGGTTGACAATCCCATGATGATAGTTTTCCCAGACTGTAAATCTTGATGGAAGCAGCTAGCTTCATCTTTCTCCTGTGGACCAGCTGGTAGGTTTGAACCACCAACCTTGTGGTTAGGAGACCACCGCTTAACCTACTGGGCCATCAGGAGAAAAAGGAAGCAAAAAATTTTGTGCCCTTGATGAGATTTTTGAGTTGTTGAATCAATTAAACTTGTAGTCAACACTGTGTCTGGATGTCCTATTCTATAATATATAAGTGAACATTTAAGCCACTTTGAGGCAGGGTTTCTGTTAATGTGATACAATGATTATATGCCCCCCCCCCTTAATTTAATCTTTGTATGAGAAATTGGAGTCATGGTATGGCACTGTAGGATCAGGCACTGGACTGTTAACTACAAGGTCAGTGGTTCAAACCTACCGGGCGCTCCTCAGAGACCCTA